GAGAGAGAGAGAGAGAGAGAGAGAGGGAGAGAGAAGAGAGAGAGAGAGAGAGAGAGAAAGAGAGAGAGTGAGAGAGAACATGAGAGAGAAGAGAGCGTGAAAGAGACAGAGAAAGAGAGATATAGAGGGAGGACGGGGACGGACAGACGGACAGACGGACAGACGGACAGACGGACAGACGGACAGACGGACAGACAGACAGACAGACAGACAGACAGACAGATATTTGCAAAGATACTGTTGCCACCAGCTGCTGCAAAGAAGTTCATTTGATAAACTTGATATTCATGAAAATAAGGTGTATCAATATGTATGCGTGATCGAACCTGTCAAAGACGACCGCACCTGCTGCTGAGGAGGACAGTGGTCTTAGACATCAGTGGTCTTCTTATATACGTCAAAATAATATATGTATGTAGAAAAAAAAAGCAATGGGAAAGCGGGAAGTGGGTGCTTGAAATAATATAATAATAAACATAGCATTTGTATAGCGCCCCTAGCTCGACAGCAAGCTCTATGCGCTTTACATTATATTATTACCCCAGCAGACCATAGAACACTCAGAAACATCCTTGGCTTCCCGGGAAACATACAGTGCCAGCAGCCGATTAAGCTGAAGAAGACACTAACAAACTGATAAGATCTTTTGCTGTCTATAGCTGAGTACCCATTCTCACATGGATGAGGTGAGGAAAATTCGTGTAAATAAAACGTGCCTTTCCCAAGGACACAACTTCGAGCACCTGATGGGATTCGCACCCACGACCTTATGGTTGCAAGTCCAAGAGCTTAACTTCTGCTTTGGACAGGAGGTCATAAGAGTAGGTTCAACTATATTATGTTATGTTCATTATATGAGTTGACTTAGACTATATGATTTTTAACAATCTGAAGATAAACCTACCCAACCAACCTAATGAGAAATTATATTTTTTTAAATCCTATCATTTTTTTCCTTACCCCCCGCCCTAAGCCCTAACTCCAACCCCTTCTTTGACAGTCACAGTGCCATAACGGCATAGGCCTACCTGAACATTCAGACCCCCCCCCAGCCTGCACAATTTCAAAAACTATAGATCCTACAAACACGTTTCAAAGTACGGGACCAAAAAGACCTGATCCCCCATTGTAGTTAATTTCTCAGGATAAAGTTTTGAGAGGGTCAAAACTAACCTAAACAGCATTTATTCGAGAGAGACAGCCATGCAGGGCCCTCAATCTTACTCAATCACTGTGACTGTTTTAAAGGTTACCTTGACACTGTTGGACAGTACAGTGACTAGGAGAACGAAAATACACCGCTGACTAAAGCCACAGCCGCATAATATTAAATAATCTGATCGACGCGATACAAATACAAAAAAATGACTTTCGGAGAAAAAAAGAAAACATTCTGAGAAGCACTAAAAGTTGTGCTGTCGACAGTAAACGCAAAGTCTGCAAGGAGCAGTTTTGATTTATACAGGTAAATCTTACCCGTCTAAACTACGTTACAGGTGTGCACTGTCGTGAACAAAAACAACAACAACGAATTTACACTCACCGAAAACATTTCGAGTGCCAGTCCGCATTCAAAGCTTGTACCGCTGGCTCCCCGCAGATAGTCTCACTGCAACCTTTACACGTAGACAACATGATTGTAATATCCAACGAACACATTAACGAAAATTCATGGCAATTCTCGAAAACTGAACCCTCGAAGTCGTTGGAGAGGAGAAAACTTTACCAGTTTCGTCGTTCGCTGGGATATTCCTGGTCCACCATTTTGCTTCACTACGGGCTACAGGTGAATTAGGTTGTCATTTTCAAAGTTGCCTCCCCTGTATAAACAGAGACCACGCCCACTTAAGCTCCGTCCGCTTGAGAGAGAGAGAGAGAGAGAGAGAGAGAGAGAGAGAGAGAGAG